ACTACAGCTGTCTTGCAGGAAGGGGCAATGTAACTCTTAAAAACCTGCCTTCTTTTTTCTGCTTTTTTCTGTTTCCTGCCCCAGGTTGAGGAGGGCTCCTGTTAGTCAAGGAAGAGTTCACCACAGAAGAAAAAAGAAGAAGACCAGGTTAGCGGAAGAAGGCAGGTTACTCAAAAGGCAAGAAACCCCTGGCCAAGAGTGGCCAGAGAAATTTGGGAATGGGATGCGTATGTTTCCATCCTCTCCTTTCCTCCCTCTAGTTATCTAAACTTACTTTTAATGGGTCAGTCAACTTTATTTTGAGTAATAGCTTTCTGCTGCAACTTAAAGACCCATACTTCAAGAAAAGTGAACCCAGAAGGGAAGTCAACAGTGATAAGAGGGTTGATATTTTGATATTTTCCATATGTAGCACGAATATATGTTAAAATAAACCACCACAGATTATTTCATAGAGAGTTCAGAAGGCCTTTAAAACAAACCTATCCTCCAAGCACTGAAGGGAAATACTCTTCAAGAAAACAACTCAACAGTAAATTAAGAGAGGTTATTGCGCAGAGGGGACAAAAATCCATACTAAACCCACACAATACTGTAGTATTTATTTCAATTACTGCCAGTAATCTTTTAAACTATGTTATAAACTCTGGAGCCTATCAGATCCTTGCTCCTGAACAACCCACCCCACCCTGTGCAATTCCTAATACTGTAAGCATTTCATGGTACACTGTATCTGTTTATGTCATTTTCTTACACTCCTACAGTGGCAATGGTGCTGTCTATACTTGTCAAAGGTCACATCTTGTACTCTGTCCATGAAATTACACTGGTACAGATATAGATTCCCAAAACCATATATAAGCTATTCTATTCTCATTTCAACTCCCGAAAAATATTTGTTCATCTAATATCAAATGTCAAACAAATCCTTGCTAGAATCAAGACCAAAAAAAATACAAACTACAAGCATGAGTCACTTGATAAAAAAAAAAAAATCTTGCCTACTTAGAGAAATAAATAAAGAGAACCTGAAAAGCTATCTAAAAATGGGACTATAGAATGTGTCACAAAGCTAAACCCAAGGAAATCTAAACAGACCAAAATAGATGCTTCAAGGAATATAGTTAGCACAGTCTTAAAAGTAGAGTAGCTTGCTATGATACTGAACAGGACAGCTTGGCAGAGCCTGAGTCCTGAACTGACACAACTGTGTTGCGCCCAATGTCTAAAATTGCTCATTCAGTGCATGCTTGGGTATCAAAGAAATGGTATAAATGTATAACCATACTTCAGGATTCAGAAACCTATCGAACAGATTTTATGTTCAGAAACAGTATTTAACGGATCTAGAAAATACTTTCTTGTTCTTCTCATATTACACACATTTATAAACACCTTTCAAGGAAGCCCTTGTTTTCAGAGATACACTTGGAAATTACATAAAGCACTGGAAAGATGCATGCCATTTAGAAAAAACCAAAACAAAGAGAGCACACTTGGTCTGGACTATCCTTTAATTAAATCTCTGACTGTATGCTAATAAAATAGTTTACTGCAAACTTTATTCTAAGTAGTTAAAAAGGATATAAATCAGTTTTACATATAGGGGCTTTAAGGTTTTTTTTTTTCAAGCTGGGGTGATGCTTTCTAAGAAAACATCAAATTATTGAATGAACCTGTTTTGGCTATAGTGGTCTGTACTGTTGGAAGTTGTTCTAATTATAGCCAGTTTTAGAAGCAAATTCTGATTTAGTTTTCCAGACAGGAAAACAAGGTGCATAGACATTAAAGGATTAAATGGAAACATAGTAAAAGGAAGAGTAATTTCATAAAGACAGACTGATATATGAATGACGTGGTAGCGGTTTTATACAGGATATTTCTCCTCTTTGACCTTCCAAAGGGGAAAGAAAACAGGAAAAAAGCCAACAACACCTCAAATTCCATCAAACTTGAGGCAACCAGAATGTAACAGTATTCAAGTAACTGGACAAATCTAGCAGTTAGATGAGGGGCAGAATTATGTCCTTTCACTTACACACCCTTTAGGTACAATGATGGGGGAAAATCATCTGCCTGAATCCCGCTTTACTACCTCTTATCTTTCTTAAATTTCTTAATTTTACCCCTTTGAACAGTAAAAATCATACCCCCCAAAAAAATCTTATTACAGTCTTGATTAATATCTGGGTAGGCTTATTTGGGTGAAGTGGCTTTCCTTCACTTCTCTGTGAGCCTAGTAACCAATTGACCTACATAATGTACAAGTGACAGCATTGCTGTTTCACTCTCCTACTCCAACTGCTTCATTCCCCATCCTTTGCAAAGTAAGAATGAAACAGAAGCCTGAACTTTACTGTTTTTGTTGGTCTGAATTTACTTTCTTTACAGTATTTAAAAATCTTTATATGTTTTTGTAAAATCCCTTCAATATATTTTTGAGACTTATAATACTTTTGTGAAGTTATGGTATATTAAGTTGATGTAAAGTTGTGATTCATTCCCTTTGTGCTTAAGATCATGCTGTTCATGCGGCACAGCATGAAATGATGTGCCTGGGAAAGACATTAAAGTAGAAACCAATCTCATTTTCTTTAGACTTAGAGTCCATCCTTACCAATCCTTTTTACTCATTCATACCACAAGATTATAAGCTACACAGTATTTAGCAACATCAGAGTCTAAGGATGTGACTTGGCCAGTGTTAAAGTCCTATCTCTGTAAGACAAGTGTTCAGTGGTTAAAACTATTGCATATATTTTTCAAAGAATTTTTTTCTCTGTGTTATTACGCAAGCTCAGTAAGAAGATGGCTTCATTTTTCAGAGTACCTCGGAAGAGACCAACTTAGAAAGGTAGATACATTGTTCATTTTTTAGCTGTAAAAAATTGCATGGGCAAAATGCCTTGAGTAGATGCCGCAGTACTAATATTCCCAATGTATTTACCTCTATTCTGTCAAGGCACTGGTTAATATTGATAGAAGTTGTCTGGATTACTGACATTTTGAAAAACAGCAGGGGACATTTAAAGAAGAAATAAAATGGGTGCAATACATACAGGGTACGTATCAAGGAGAAGAGAGAATGGAAGACAATAGTAGGGCATATCTACCTCAAGCTGAACTTTTTTCTGGAGAGAAGAATCAAAACAGGAACTTTCAGCCATTTAAAAGAATGAAACTGAGGTTCTTTTGTTAAAAAATATCATTCAGACATTTTCTAAAGAAACTTAAGCAGTACAGTCAATTAGGGCACAGGATCTGAAATCTGACAGCCCTTGTCAAATTGGCTACAAAGCCTCAAAACCAGAGAAGTCTGTTTGGCTGCCCAGATTTAAATCCACCCACATTTGGATAGCTAGGAAGGTCCTGAGAAATCATTTGTATAACCTTTTTGGCAATATGTCCCTCCAAGTGTTCTGCCACCACAGTGGTACTCAAGCATGGAGCTTCCAGGGGCCCAAGCAATATTTCTTTGCAAGTTACTCCTCTTGACAGGTCACAATGCTGCGATGTTACCTTCCAGACAACTGCAATAACAAAGTCTCCAAGACATGTAAGAAGAGTCACTATCTCTGGCAGACACAGGATTGAAACCTGGACTACACTATCATTTGTTAGGTTATCTAACGGCTAAGCAAATTAGACACAAAGCCCCAGTAAGGATCAGAGGAACAATGATAGGTGGAGGAACCCTAGTAATATAATCAGTGGAAAAACCTAATCAGTGAAAATTAGAGTGCATTGAATTGCCTGTTTCCTATCCAAGGGGAAGATGAGACTACTGTCCTTGGTGTGAAATGCACCAAGGTGAGTCAATGGGGAGACTCTTTGATCAGAAAACTGTAAATGAAAACAAGTGATTGCCTGCAGCAGCACATGACTCTATGGGATGTATGAACAAGCAGATTTTGGGACTGTGTAAACTTCAGGATGGGATTTTCAAAGGGGATTGTGGGAATGTGTAAAGATTGTTTAGTAGAAGGAGCAAAGATGGGGAAAGGGAGTAATCAAGGTGGATCGAAAAGGAGTAAGTGTGGGGAAAAAAATGAGTGAAATGAGGAAGAAGGCATCAGTTGGGTGTAAAGGTGTCTGCCTTGTCAGTAGTCTGACTAACTGAGCTCTGTGCTCGAGGACCACAATCTATGCTCTATTCTCATTAAATCTGATTTCTGACTCCCTTCTGTGTAGGTGTGCTCTCTGCTCTAGATGTGTATGTATGAGCACTAGAGAGTAGGAGGAATGGTCTGAGTACCAGCAGCTGGAGTAAGCCATGAAACTCAGGGGCTTGTGGACTCTGGTGCCATCAGCTGGAGCAAGGCAAGGGCACTGGGAACTGTTCCTGGGTAGACTGAGGATTTAAAGCCAACAGCAGCAGTGACCCACGTATGTGTGCCATATTGTACTAGCAGACTCCAATCTGATCATCAGGAGAGAAGGAACAGGACTGGGTCACCTCTGCTCTTCAGGTTCATCTGAGAGCTGTGTTGTGTAGGAAGGTGCTGCTAAAGGCAATGCTTTTTCTCTGTGTTGACCTGGTTGGGCTGGGTAGACGTAGGATGAGCGAGGACATGCTACCTGTTACATCCTTCTCATACGGAGAGTGAACGCTTCAGGAAGCCACAATGTGGTGCAATACCCATCGCTGTGAGACAGCAACTACATTGCATTTTAGCTGACTGACAGGAAAAATACCATGACTGTGAGATCTTTGTGGAGAAGTCTCTCAATAATTTGTGAATGTTCCATCTGCATACATACTTTTACATTAAACATGGAAGCATCAGAAACATCATTCAGTGCAATAAAACAACAATCATTACCAGCAAGTATCCTGCTCTTTGATTAGACAAGCCACAGATTATTCTCTCCAGTTTTTGTGATTTTAAACCAAGGCAAGTTCCTTTCCAAGTATATTGGGTAACTGTTGCAATGCTCTTCTTGTTTTAAATCCAACTCTGATGCAGAATGCTTTCATTAAAAAAAAATAAAATTCTTACCTCCAAGTTGTAGAGATATTTGAAACTGTTTTTCTGATTGGCCGCCTTTTCCACAGCTTGAGCTAATTTTACTGCTCCTCTACCACCAGCTGACCAGTGATTGCAGGGTACAGCATCAAATGCTCCAGACTGCTTTGCAATCTTACACACCAGATCAACCTCAGCAGGAGAGTCGGTTCTGTCAGGCAAACAATTCCATCTCATTATTTTGTTTAATTAGTACTCTTTTATAACATTATAAACTTAGCCTTATTCCACCATCAGCAATTGTAAAGCAATATAGGAATTTTGCCATATACATAATGCATTTATACAGAGTATACGTATTTACATGTTGCAAGAAAACTCTTTGTGATTGTTATAGCTAATTAACTCTTTGTGATTGTTATAGCTAATTAACATGGAAGATTGCCAGTTCCATAATAGTATATACTTTTTGTTGGTTTTAAAACCTTAAGAACAAGCTAAGGAGTTAAATATCTTTATATTCATGATGAAAATGGAAATTTTTTAATAGCTTCTTTTCTTTATGCCAAAATTCATTAATTTAAAAACCAAGAAAAGAGAGAAGTTTAAGCAGTGTATTTACTCACAAAAGTAATCAAAGAATAGACTTACTTGAAGACATTTAGAGCAACCACAACAGGAACTCCAAAGAGTTGAGTAATTTGAATCTGTTTCTGTAGATTACAGCAGCCATCAGCTACCAGCTGGAGGTTCTGTGCAATTAAATAAAAATTAATGGAAACGGTAACATACATAAAGACTTCTCCAGCCAAAGAATTTTCAATAAATTAAAGTGAACAAAACAGTGTTGATCACGACAGTTGCAGGCAAGTGAAAAGCTCCCAGACAAAAGAATTTTTGCCCTTATTAATTCTTATTTCAACTAATAAGCAACAGATATATTTAAGTAACTATCAGTGTACAGAGTTTGTACATGAAACCATTGCTCTCTTCTGGGACACAAGAAGGCGGTACAGCTGACAACTGGTTGCTTGTCATGACTGTGAAAGACCTGTTTGCAAAGTTTATAAAAACTACAGTAGTGGGGTGGGGATTGACATACAGATGTGTTAGATATATAGTTTAATCTATATACACATACATATCCCAGATAAAAGCACATTACTGGATTTCCTTATTTACTCTTTTACCTCACACTTTGTAGACCTTGTCTTAATTATAACAAAACACATATTCTTAGCTTCATACAAGCAGAAGACCGGAATTTGGCTACAGTGAAGTGACAAAGAAAACAAACCAGTAGAATTCACACTTGTTTGACGAGTGACAAGCCCAAACGTGAAACACAGATTCAACTTGTTTAATGAACAGGTTATGCTATCATTAGTTTCAGGGAATGTCTATGACCCCTACACCACTCTGCTCTTTTCCTTCTATAAATGCCTGTATGCTGATCAATCTGAAAACTTAGTAGTTCCAGAAAAACTACTGAAAAAAGGTTATTTTTCAGCTAGTTCAGTTCCTCACTACAATCCATCATGCAGTCACACAAATAACACATCCAAGAGGGATAACAGAAAGGGGCTGAGGGAGGATGAGATGGCTTTACTTGTTGGTGGTGCCTATTTAAAGATGTTCACTGAATGTCAGCATTAGAGTGTGCTATTGTCAAACCTGAGGCTGCACACTATGCAGCCAGAGGAACGAGAAGTTCTGATTTTCCATATGCCACATTATTTTGTTCCTTTAAACAAACCCCTCCTAAGTTTTATAACCGTTCCTCTTACCTCTTCTGTGTATTCTTTCTTCAAGGGGGCACCAGCAGTTACCTGGGATAATAAACAAAGTCATCACAGATTGACACTTGTCATAACCCTAGAGGGTCTGCAATGCACTTTTGCCTACTTTCTATACTGCCAATTAACACATACATTGCACACAACATCATAGTCTGTCTGCAGCTTCTGTTTTATTTCACCAGTACATAAAGAATACCAACACTTCCTATTGTATTTGGGTAGTAAGATACAGGTAGTGACTTAGGAACTAATTGCAAAAGATGCAGTACAGGAGAGCTGATTGGATTTCATTCTACATATTGTTACAAGACACCAGCAGTACAAAGACAATGGACAGTAACCTCCAACAGCTGGTTGAACAAATAACAGCAACACAGATGACCAGAAGAGGAACATCATCTTTTAATGTCTTGCAATTGCTGCCTGGGGCAAGGAACTGCATGCAAGTAATTTACTTTGCTGGAAAGCACAAAGGTATACATGCAAAGAGTATCACCAGAGTACTATATCTAGTCTTCAAGGACTACATACATCAATCCCAGGCACTGGACTTACTCACTTTTGTCTCTAGCATGGGTCCATTTTATAGTTAACCTTCCAGTAAAAGTATCTGGTACTCTACATGCCTCTGTGATGAATGCATCGCATTTGTAAACAAACAAAAGTTTTAAATTTCTAAAGACGCAACTCAGACAAAACCAGGAACAGTTATTAAGACATATTTAAGTCCTATTTTTGCTAGATTGAATGATAACACGTGTGACAATACACCTGCCTTGTAAGGAATGGAGGAATGTAATTAAAAATAAAGAAAAGGTGTATTAGAAGTGGACTAAAATGACAGAAAGTCCTGTAATTATATCAACCTGAAAGACTGAAAAAGGATGGCTCAGCTTTAACTCTTAGAGATGTTTAGCTGTAAGGGAGACCATGCATTCCAAAATTTTGTGGCTGTGGAAACAGCTCTGGTATTTTCACCCAGTGAGACTGTTTCCCTGGCAGCATCACTCTCTAGCATGCTGCTGGGCAGATGAAAGTGTTTCCAGGAGTTAATTTCAGTTTCTGTCTACTCGGTTAGCAGAGTCTGATCTGACTGCACGATTGAGGAGCACTTCTACAACCAGTAATTGGTACAAGTCTCTTTGTGGCTTAAATAGCAAAAAAATGATACACTGGTGACTTTTGGTACACCAGAAAAAGATTTGCAAAATTTTATCAGTTACTTCAGCATCTCTGAGGAAATTAACCTGAACAAAATAAAAGGACAGAAGGGGTAATGGGTACCCATTACTGGAGTAAAAGAAATCTCAAAGCCTTCACCAACAATGTTCTCTGTTTCCACTCACACACTACAACCCAAATTCATTCTCATTCCTCCTCAGCTGCCAAATTTCCCAGCCTATGACTACTTCAATGCACTTTAAAATGCTATTTCAAAAGGCAGGAAAAAGAATATAGATATTTATATCTTATAGCTTTTTTTTCATGTGAACAAACTTTCCTAGCTCAGCAAGATACAGTACTTCTTCAGAGCTCTTTCATCCCTCTTCTTTCATTTGTGCCTTTTTTGCATTAACTTTAGAGGTAACATCTATATAATGAGGTATCTCAGAAGGGTTATTTAAATATTAGCCCTTAGGCTACCCCAAATATTTCTTAAATCAAGATATTTTACTTATTTCAAATATTAGCAACAATTTTATTTTCCAAGAAAGGTGCAAAAACTTACATTTGGCCCACCTCCATGCATCTTCAAAGCCCTCACTGTAGCAACAAGTACAACCACACTGGGAAACAAGCCAGATGCCCTGCATTTGATGTTGAAGAATTTCTCCATCCCAATGTCAGCACCAAAGCCAGCTTCAGTTACTGTTAAACATTAAAAAAACAAAACAAAACCACACATTAAACATGCTTTTGGTTAAACACTGGGGGATATTTCTACTTTAGCATACTGTGCACTTAAATATACACCAGTACTCAGTTTTGAATGAACTTTCAAATAGAGTTCTATTTACATTACAGAGTCTGATTAAAAACCTATTCCCAACTCAGAAATAAGTTCTCTTATTCTTGATATGTACAATATGTCATCAAAAGTAGTCACATGTGGGGAAAAAACTCAAGCAATCTAAATTAGTTTGAATCAAAGTATTTAAAAAAATCTAGTCCTCTAAAATCACTGTTTCTGTGCAACTACATTTAAAATGTTTGCAAATTCTCACAGATACAAGACTTTCCTATTTTAATTCTCCTCCTTCGATTTCACTAAAGATGTGTTTTCATCACAACTAATGGACATAAATTCTTCTAAGTTTGCAGAACTTCTGATCATCTCTCGCTTTTGTGGAGAGAATGTTTAATTATAAACACAAACCAGCAGTTACAGTCATAGTATTCAATACGCTGTTAAACAGTGAATTTAATAGTGGGCTTTTGCACCAAAGAAGGCAGACATGAATGTAACATGACTCAAGAGAAAAATCTGTCCAGAATTAGGATACACCTGGCAAAATATTTTTAGTGGAGCTACAAATAAAGAGAAGATCATCTGTATTAAATTGTATCAGTCTCTTCAGAGGGAATTTGCTCTGATTTGTCAAACGGCAATTATTTCAATTGCTTCTTTTAAAATCCAAATAATTTCTTTTTATTAGACAAACACAAGCACAAAGCAAATAAAAAAATTGAAGGGATTAAATCTCCCATTGGTTGAAAATTTGCCAATGTAACAATTTCCCACCAGAACACACTTAATGAGTTGGGCTCAATGCATGCCTCTGAAAGATGTGAAGGGACTTTCAGGCTGACAAACCAGGGTGGGAAAATACTTGCTCCAGAGGCTTCTCAACTTGGCTCCAAGCAGGGCCGGTAACGTGTTCTTATAACCCTCATAATCAACTTGTAAAAATCAGTAAATTCCCTTCTCTTTCCCTCTTGCCAGCAGTTTTGTCTCCCATGCTTCGGAGGGGAAGTGACCACAACAGCTGATTGAACATTTCAGGGTTGGAAACCTTCAGTAGGGTCAAGGAGGAGGAGGTACAGATCTGCTCTGTTGCTGTGGCAGAAAGTATCTCTCTGTTGGCAGCCAATGCACTTTAGGAAGTCACAGCCTTTGGGCATTTGTCCTCACCCCAGCAGTCCTTTTCCACCTCTTCTTCATTTTGCACAGGCTTAAACAATTGCCTGTGTGGATCTGCTCTGAGGGAGGAAATGGCTGCTGGGGCTGGGAGAGGAAGCAAGTGTTAGCAAACAAGGAGGTGGGCATGCTGAGGGGGGCAGGGACCTCTTGAAATAGTAACATGGCAAGTATCATGATTAATATTCTCCTAAATCATTGTAATAAGTATATAATCTTTTTCCGAATAGCCCTGAGAAAAACAGACATAGCAAACATGGAACAAAAAAAAAAAAAAAGAGGTTTACACAAACACAGTAATTCATAGGAGCAAAGCTAATGTCAGGATAAGTCATATTAAAAGCAGAGCCAGAGATCACGTTTCTGCTTTCCAGTAACCCCTATTCTTCTTCTCCAATCTCTTATGTGGCACAGGGTGATTAATGAGAACTCTGAATCAGGAATATATAACCATGATCAATCCTTAATATAAACAAAAGATAAACTACCAAGTGCTTGAGAGGGTGGGAAAATAATTTGTCTCTTCCAGAGACTGCCAGCGTATATACATAGCAGTCTACTAACATTTCCAAACAAAGTTTCCAGGGAGTTAATCCATTTCATGCCAAGCCTTTTCAAGGGTCAATTTCCCTTAGAGAAAGGGGGATTGCAAGTCTGCCTTTCAGTGGGAGAAAAGCAGAGATATCAGCCTTCCAGTAAATACAGCAACTGCTCACACAGTACTTCATGGTTCTCTCGAGGAGGTACAAGCCACCCTTTGGACAGTGTAGGCAGCCAGGGCAAATGGTCAGGAGAGCTGTGCAGGGGGCCACCTATCTGAGCAGCTGTGCATATTCGTCTGTTCTCTGCAATGCTTTCCTTTGATAGGGAGGGCAAAATGTGCATTTGCCTAAAAAATCCCAAATACTGTACTGACATCTGAAAAGCTAACACAACACCATTTTCCAGAGTGTGTGCTACAACATGGGGAATGGAATTTTTTCACTGGAAGCAGAGGAAAGGGAGACGTCAGTGCTTTCTCCAGTGTGCGGAAGGAAACAGGATGTAGTAGAAAAGCTGTCTGGATGAAAGTTGTAACTCCATTTTATTTCCTCCAAGGAATAGTAAGAAGGCAGAATAATATGCCAAGCTATTATAATTTAAAATCTTTGTGCTGAAACACTTGATACAATTACTTTCAGATTGTTTCCTGCTTTCAAATGAAAGCACCAATGAAAAACACAGACTATGAATAGGAAGTTTCAAGCTAATCTACATTTAGAGATCATGAGATAAACCAGCTAATCACTTTAAATGTAACAACACAAATTGGGCCATTTATTTTGGTTATGATTTCTCATATATACTTTGTCAACACATTACAATTATAGATTACAGGTTACCTGACATAGGTTTTGGGTAACAAACATTTACTTAAGCAGTCGTGTACCTCAACTGAAGAAAAGTTTATAACACAACCACTGCTACCTGCGTACACAGTTTTTGCCCAGCTTCAGCTCCCCTCCATGGATGTCTGTTTATCCTGTCCCCTGTCAAGCAGCCTTTTTCCACCCCTATGAATCATGGCTACCTGGGCTGCTGCCCTGCAAGCAGGTAGGAGCTTTGTAATAGATATCAGCATGATGTTAACTGCTTGCTTTCATCTCCCAGGCACAAACAGAGTTCTAAAGCAGTTCTAATAAAAGTAAAGAGGTAACTGATTTGCCTTCAGCGAGCTCACAGAAGACACACAGGTATTTGCACTGCCAGCCTAAGAACACAACCCCATGGCAAACATATGCAGACTCAGATCAGGGATATTACGCTTGCAGGTCCTGCTTTGCATTCTGAATCCCCTTTTTGCACCTACAGGACTCGACGATGATCTGGACGAGTTCTAAAAGATTATTTTCTGTATGTAATTTTCAGTAAATAGGGCTCTTGGGATTCTCTCACTGTGTGGTGATACAAAGGGCAAAACCTAATTCTACAAATACTCTGCTGTTTGATTTTATACTTCAATTTTAGAGCCCAAGTATCATAAGGAACACTGGAAATGAAGTTTAAAAATTAAAGTTTCATGTATCAGCAGTGCACTCCCATTACATTACTTTTAATAGTGGGCCATAGGTTAAACCTAGCAATTAATAAACACATCTATATCAGAAGTAAACTGCACCAAAATGATCCAATAAGGTCAAATAATTTGTTTGCATAAAACTTGCACGCAGGGTGACCAAAAGCTAGCATGTTCTAACACATCAGGGTAACTGCAGAATCTTGTTTCAAAACAACAGTAGGCAAAACACAACACACAATTACTATAAGTCTTTCTACAGATCACTGACATAACATCTACTTCACTCACTCCTGCTACAAAATCATCAATAGTTTTCACTCAGAGCTGAACCCAAAATATCAAAATTAGGTACAAAAGGGAAAGGAAAAGCCCATAAATATTAAATTAGGCAATAGAGACAAGTCTGTCGGGTGGTGTAAAGACAGAACTCTTCACTGGAGTTTGTAATTCCACTTCAGGTGAGTGAACAAAGCACTCTGATGGTTTTGTTTCTTGTTTATAATTATCACAATCTCCTTCATGTAATTACTGCCTTGCCAAGCACATCTGGGAACCACCTACACATGACAATAGCTTAAATAGACAGTGTCATGGTTTAAGCAGATAATCAGATTTCATCATCATTCTTAATAAAAATGTAATTTTTCTCCCTCTAAAAATACATCTATCATGCTGAAGCTGCATAAAGTGGTTCCACATTAGTCTCACATTTACATAGTGCTTGAAAGCCTTACAGAAAGTGATGTTTAGAATATTTCTTAAAAAGCTATTTCACCCACAATTGAACTTTGTGTATACTGAGGGTAATTTCTAGTGAAAGTAGCTTCTCCCTAGTCAGCCCTTTCTATCAACAAATCAATGTCAAAATAAAACATTCGTACTATGAAAGGCCAAGTCAGATGCAAAGCTTTAGGACACAAATTGTGAGCCTGGATTCCTGAACAATGTAAAAGGAAATGGAAAATCTGAGCTGCAAGTTGCCATTTACTCCCCACATGTAAACATCTCTGTTCTGGTGCAGCTGTCTGCTGGTAAACTCAGGAAAAGAAGAGTTCAAAGTCACAGAAGCACATGAACTGTGAACCTGGAGCTGGAGGCATGCTAGCTGTAAAGTACTGATACATTCTTATTTAAGGGAAAAATATCAAGGTGCAAAACTGCCAAAATAAACTAGGACGATCAGTGATTTTTCTAACAGGATATCATATTTTTGTTAGTATAGCTAGGGATGAATAAGCCAGATGTTTGTCCATTCTGACTCTGGCAATTATTTGAGTGAACTTTCATTATTATGACTGATTCTGGAATGTAACAGATACTTTTTTCCCCCTTTTCTTCCTCCCATCCCCCCCCCCACCACCTCCTAACAGAGGGAGTTTTCCTGTTCATTTTTCTTTTGACGCATTTTCAGATGTCAAAAAACTGGTAGCAGGAAACTCTCTGCTACCACTGTTGGACACGAAGTCCAGTAGAAAATGACACATGAATAGGTTAAGGCTGAACATTTTTCATGCCATGAAGAAAATACTTTGCACGGGTTATCAAAGTTTTACATTGTTGTTCTGAGGTGTAGAAGAAAAGGTAATTGGAAAAATATTTGCTGCTTAGTTTAACAGACCATAAGCTAATTGGAGGTAATATGTACTTTTCACCTTTTGCTAAAGAAAGGTG